CAATTTTGAGGGGGGGTTTAAAGGGGTGGGGGGGACGAGTTTTTTTTATAGGCGAAATTCAAAAATCTGGACAAAAGAAAAATTCACCTGTGGGGTAATGTGCCGGGTTGGGGGACTGTGACCGAAAAAAAAAAACCGCCCACCCAATTTGAAATCGTAGGTTGCTCTGCGATCTTCTCTGTCGCTACTTGTCTTCTTTTTTTTTTTTTTACGGCCCGCGCCACCCCCCAACCCCCCCCCTTTCCCCCACCCCCCCCCCTCCCCACTGTACCACGCCCCGACAGAAAATAAAAAATGGGGGAGCGCAAGGGGAGGAAAAAAAACCCCCCGGGGCCTTTGGGGGGGGGGGGGGGGGTGAATTCTTGGTGCCAAAGCCATACTTAGCTGAGGGCTTTAAGAGTGTCGGAGAAGCAATGTTTATATGAAGTCAGATATACATAACTGGGAACAGAAGAACTTCGACATTGGATGAAGTGTCCTGGTCGTGGAACGTTTCCGAAGAAATGAAACATGCCACACAATTCTGACTCAAATCAGCCCTGTTCAGGGAAAAATTTACGCACATTTTTATAGCTTATAGGTATATATACCTCACAGTTTTTGTTCCTTGATTTATGATCATGGGTTATTCCCCAATTGCCTCGTAGGAATAAGTAGGTTAGTTTGCAGTTAGAGTGTGTGATTGCTAATGTCAAGAGTCTAGCACCTTTATTGGTTATCTGGTTACTACTGAGGGATTAAGAAGATTAGTTTGCAGTTAGAGTGTGTCAGTGCTGAAGTTAACTGTTTCGCACCTTCATCGGTTATCTGGTTCTTTTCGAGGGATAAGCTATTTAGTTTACAGTTCGTGTGTGTGAGTGCTACAGTCAGGTGTTTAACACCTTCGTCAGTTATCTTGTTATCAATGAGGCTTAAGTCGGTTAGCTTGCAGTTAGTGTGTGTAAGTTCTGTGACTAAATGATGAACTCCTTCATCAGTTATCGGGTTAAAATGGACGGTGAAGCTGCTTAGTTGATTGTGTTCGCTACCACAAAACAACTTCGCAAGCTCTATATATCCTAGCGACTGAAGGTTGTTAGCCCATAAATCAAAATCTAAAATTCCTTCAACAGATAAATTGCCAGCAATGACGACAAACTGTTTTTGAAAACACGCCTACAGAGATATATCGATGAATTTTTTCTGCCACTCTTTGAAGGCATTTCCCCCCAGAGGATGTTGCTCTGCACCTACCGGACGGTTTAGGCGGCCTGTAAATTGCTAGTAGTACTATGTCAGTCCTTCATATCCTGGATTCTACAGCAATGGCTTCAAGCGTTTTGTATGCTTTTGGAATTCTTAATGAGATTCTGAAGCTGTCGTGGGCGACCACCCTCTATTGCTTTCCATGCGGTCGCTTACGAGAGCTCATTCTCGTAAGCGACCCGCTCTACTTACCACTTACCACTTTTGTAATTGATAGATACTGTTTCTTGCAACTGGGTGATGTAAAATCACTCTGAAGGTTGGGAACCGTCTCAGTTTTTATCCAGTCTCAGACTGTTCTTTTTTTCTGGACTGGAGGCCTATAATATACTAAAGTAGCAGCTATGGACAGCTGTTTCACCCTTATTGGAGCTCATCAGGATGACATAACCGTCGGAACTATGAATGGACAAAATCGTGTACCAAAGGCCCTTCGGTGCTAAGACGAGTTCAAAGTACTCTTTTAATTAAGCGCAAGCTCCAAGCAAGGGAAGTTTTGCTCCAAGTTAACATGCCATCCCTAACACTTGCATCTTCCTGACTTTGTGAACTTCAAACTCTCGGTCTTTTTCACTTAGTTTCCTAGCCTGCGCGCATTTTAAGCTCTCCATTTCGAGAATTTCCTGAAAAGTCAGGCGAGAGCGAGGGGAACCTGCCACTTGAAGAGCCTTTGCAGCTGGCCAGTCATGGGATACAAAAAAAAACCATGCTGAGACGCAAGAAACGCATCAAGGGCAAACAAAGAGCTCACATTTTTCAATAGTAATTTGCTCTGTTTGCCTTGTCTCTCATTGCGACTTTTGCGTTCAAGCATGGAGTTTTTGTGCCACGTGACTGACCAGCTGCAAACGGTCTGACTGGACACCTCGCTCTCAGGTTATTCGTGTCGATGAATGCAATCTAGGCTGTTTTGCCTTGCTAACGTGGAATGACCATCTTCGTCTCGTCAGGTTTACATCAAAGCCTTTCTTAGTGTTTGCTTTCGAAATAAGAACTTTATTTTGACGTGAATATTCATGTCTGCTTCTGGTTGGCTTTTTATGGGTCCTATACCCAGGCCTTCCCCTCCTGCTCTTTCGTCCGACCGCGTGTGTTGTGGACTGTAGGAGAACAGCGAGGGACTGTGTTGGTCTTTTTGCTGCCGGGCATCAGCCGGCAGCAGACCATATTCTTGAGCGATTTGAGATTTTTCGTTCAATGGTTCGATGTTCAATCAATCTGTGACTGCAGCGCTGGGCAGTCAGCGGTTTGCTTAAGCAAGTGCTTAGCTGCCGCGCCTGTTTTTCTCTTCGTAGCAACCCGCCATTTTGTTTGGCAGTAATGTAAGATCTGTGCAGAAATCGTAGTTTATCGGATGTTTGCTGTCTTTTTAAACGGCCTAAACAGTAAGAACAGTTCAAGAAGTATTGTACGGAACATTTTTTCGGTTTATTTTTTTTATTCTAGGTTTCAAGATTAGTTATAGCGAGTATTCCTTTGTCACACAGATTGTTATCTCGGGAATTAGGATTGTAAGTTACATAAGTGAACGGCATGTGCTGTACATCTACCTGACCTGTGAATAAACAATTTTTGGCTTTTACGTCAGTTATTTGTTCGCAACTCATCTCATCCTGTGTACGATGATTGTTCGGTGAAGAAACAGCCTATATATCAGCACTGCTGTTGTTTTAGAATTTCGTGAATTGTTAAAATGAATTACAAAATGGTATTGAAACCTTAGCGAGTTATATGAATGTAAGCATATTTGTCATCGTGATCGGTTCATTTTTTATATTACGCTCTGAGTGTTTCATAATGCCAACAAGTCTAAGTTATTGACTTTAATAAAAAAGAATTCATATGTTCAACTGTTCTACAAACTGTCTTTGTCCTATTCGCACCGTAACTAACGGCAACACTTCCCCTCTCAATGAGAACTTCTAGTATCATTACAATTGTGCAAAAAATGTCTTCTTTTCGACATAATCATCATGTGCTGTTATTACCATTTCCCGAGTAATACTACTGATTGGCAAAGTCCGGTGATTAGAAGAACGTGCTGTTAGGTTTGTAATGATAACAGTGAGCGCACTTCATATGCACGCACTTTATTCCAATATGTTTAATGCGTTATGCTGGACCAGCAACATGAATTGAAGGACTTAAAGTTTGTTAGTGTCTGGCACTATTATGTTCTACCACGGCTTAATAAAGGCTATCTGTTTACATCTGCCCAACGCAACTTGATGTTTATCCAGCTTTACTTGCTTCGACGAACATGCAAAAAGCAAAAAATCGTTCCTCGGAGGACTAGCTATTAAGAAAATTTAAACAAAAATTTCTAACTTTTCTATAGCAATTGAAGAGAAAAAGAACAAAACAGTCAATAAAAACCACAAAAAACAATTATAAATAATTAACTGTCCGTCCCAGACTCGACAGAATTTGATGTGAGAGGTAATTGAAGTAAAACCCGGACGTGACAATCGACATCGTTACTGTTGCTAACGACAGTTATCTCTCTTGCCGACCAAGTTGATTAAAGGTTTGCTTGTCAGTATACAGTCTATTGTCGGTGATGAAAAATCTAGATGCCTGCGTTGATAGTTCTTCTGTAACAGAAGTTTAAGACAACATCATAATGGGCTCGATTAGAAAGCTAAAAGGCCGATAGGTTTTCAAATATTTTTGTTGTTTATACAAACTCACAAATGTTCTTTAACTATTTTTTCAGGTCGTTTGCTAGGGGGACATTCAATCTGAGGAGATCAACGAAAAATCCCGCTAAAAGCCCTTACGGCAAACTTTGTCCATTGGGTTTGACTGCAAAAAGTCGGGCTGCAAGTGAAACAAAAGAACCGACGGCAGGTGCATCTATTCAATTAAAATTTTCCATTGGCCATTTCAATTCAATATTGATGATGTTCGAATATTTGTTACTTTACGATAATAGAGGCTTGTCTGAAAAAGATATCAATCGGAGCTTTGCAATGTAAACTTACCCCTTTAAGTTTTATCGGAAAACGAAATGCAGGTACATTGACTTTTTAATTAGCCATTCTTCTCTGGGAATGTTGTAATTGGTAAATTAGTGAAATAAGATTGATATTTCCCTGGGTGTAAAAAACATAATGTTTTTGAAAGGTGTCCTATTCTGCTTGTGTTTCCAGCCGATGTTTTTTATCTCACGGTCAAGGCGACCAAAATCTATTTTAATTCAAATTTTTCAATGTTTAGTTATTGAGTTTGAGTTAACAAAACAAATGAATTCGGAATGATTTGGCGGTGATCAAAGGGATAGGAACCAATCATGAGAGGGATAATTACCTCTCCAATTTGAAGTCCATCCGTTTCCGAACATTTCTCAATAACATAAGACTGTGAAAGGTATTAACTCGCCTTTAAGGCTCCATAACGTATCAGGGAGATCTCACAGAAGGCCACACAGAAAAGAAGTGGCAGAAAACAACAGCTGTCTGGGGGATATAACTGTAGAATACGATTGACCTGTGTAGCGACTTCTGAATTCATTTCTCTGAATTTGTTCCTTAGCCCGAAGCTCAGTTAGTTATGAAAGTATACCCAAAAGCCTGGATTGGTTGAGGTTACGCACTTTTGAGATCGTATGTCTTTAGTATATATGCATTGAGAAAACGCTAATTCAAGACTTTGCTGTTGGCTTGGGAAGGTTCGAGAAATGTAAAGCGATTAGTCTATTTCTAATGCTCAAAGGTTTTCGTGTTTCAAAGGAATAGTTAACGTCTTTGTTCAATATGCAAGCGGATACCATCATTAACAACAGTTTCACCTCGTCCAGCACTCCTCATGAGGCGGCGCAGAATCTTTCTGGAAATGCATCGAGCGGTGGAGAGACGATTGGTCCAAGTAATACTGAAATTATTTCACAGGTCATCATTCTTCTTGTCGTGCTCATAATATCAGTTGGAGGAAACGGACTAGTTTGCTTTCTCGTCTTTACAGTCAAACAACTACAAATTCCTACAAACTATTTCATTCTTTCCTTAGCGATGGCCGATTTCTTATTCGCAGTGATGTGTCTGCCTTTTCGTATCGTCAACATTCTACAGAATTACCATTGGACACTAGGACTGGCCGCATGCAAATTCTGGATCTGGTTAGATTTACTATTCTGTTCTGCCTCCATCGCTAACTTAGCAGCCATTAGCGTCGACCGCTATTTAAAAATCGCTTCTCCGCTAACCTACGACATACGGATGACATCTGTGAGGGTGGTTTTGACTTTAATAGCATTATGGGGATACTCCGTATGTCTTGCGTCGCTATCTTTTGTACAGGGCGAAGCGCCAGGCATTATAGTCGTAAGACAAACGTGTTACATTGACAACAAGATCTTCTTGACAGTTATTTCCGTCATAGGATTTTTCGCGCCTTTCCTTATTATGGTACTTATGTATTGCTTTGTTTTTAAAATGGCTCTTGCTCAGGCAAAGGAAATGTTTCGTCGGCATGAAACACTTTACGCCGGAAATAAACCGAACGCACGGCGAAAGTCAACCCGAATGTCTGCTGGAACAATTTTCTTCGAGGTGAAAGCAACCAAAACTTTGATCATACTTCTCAGCGTGTTTTGTGTTTGTTGGTCGCCTTTTTTCGTTATGACGTTGCTGAGTCTTCACAGCCCAGAGGTTTATCGAGGATTACCTCGTTGGTTATCCGTTTTACTGAAAGTCATGTTCGTCCATCTTTTGCCAAACTGCAACTCTGCCTTCAATCCCATTATTTACACCATTTATAATCATCAGTTCAGGAAAGCTACTGAAAAACTTTTCAAGCACTATAGGAGAGCAAGATCTGGAAGTTTTACTTCTTTTTCTGAACCCCTAACAGAACTTAGAAGGAGTAACCATGCAGCTTGTTCAAGACCTTCACAAACGACGTCATCTTGTATGCGTGAAGAAAGCGGCATTTAAAATAATACACTACGATCTTAAAAGTCCAGCTGTGAAATTTACAGAAAAAATGAAACGAATCTTCCTATTTTCACTTTTATTATTTGAATAATCTACCTTATTCCATTATATTCCTCAACAGCAGATGCGCAAATTATCTACAGTAGGGACCTCAGAAATAAATTAAGTGTGGGTCGAGCTTCTCAATTCTTCCTCCGCTTATCAGCTTTAGAACTTCGAAGTTCGTTAAACCCGACATTAATAAAAAATACTACCTTTAGCTTATTTATCACAGTTTATACCGGTTAACATTAGCCGTTGGGACTTAAAAACCGACCAAAAGGAATAACTAATATGTTATGGGACCGGAATAAGATCCCCATTAGCCATATGAGATTAAAAAATGGTTGAATTTGAGTATAGATTAGGAAGTTTTTCGTCTGCAGGTGAAAGGCATCCGTGATGAAAGCACAAGAATCAATGTTCTTCACCTTATATCCCACTAGTTAAGAAAAGGTTGAATGTAAGATATAGTTTCAGTGAAAAAGATGTTCTACTCGGGCATTCTTGTCAGGGGAGTAGTTAGTGGCATTGACACAGGTCTGGTTCATTATACTTTAAAGACTTCAATGACAAAAGAAAATAGTAGATAGTGGACCAAAAATACTCTTTAAAGCAAAAGTTCCAAAAGAAAAAATGCTTCCTATAGATTTGCAAATAAGCTGCTAAGCGTGCTATGCTATTAAAGCGTGGTTTCAGTGTTGCGGTTGTCGTGCTCTTGAGTTGTTTATTTAAACCCTATATATACTAAATATCATTCGCGATCGTTTCTATGGGTTTCCTTGTTTTTCCTTGGTTGAATGGCTTTTTTAAAACACTGAATTGCATCATTCTGTGGGTTTTCGCGCTGGGAAACGCAAACAAATTAAATTAATGCCTGGGATAATTTCGGGGAAAATCGGAGAAGGCACAGTCTAAATAAACCTCTTAAAACGTAGCAAATAAAGGGATTTTGTCTTTCCGGCCCCAAATTAAAAACAACATTTAAAACGAAAAAAATATATTTGATTTTCGTAACGCAATACAACTGCTTTGAATATCAGTGATTAATTTAGGAGATACTCCCTGAATCTAAGCAATTGTGAGCATGAATTGACTGAATATATATATATTTTTTTTAATATTGCCTTAAGCGTGTTAATTGGAAATCAAACCGAAGAAGTCCTTTTAACGCCCGCATCGACAACCTTAATTATATGAAAAGGATAAAATACTAATATTCATGTTGGTCAAATTAATTAGCTTGTGATCTGATTAGTTAAAATGACCCGCTCCATCGGCTTGATGATGATTACAATCGGATGCCAGATAAATGAAATATTCCACAACTGCAAATCATCCGATTATGCTTTAACATTTATTATGTTTTGTCCGTGCGAAACAGCCTTTGGCATCGTCGTTATCTCGAAGTGCGGAGGGAGAAAATTTGACCTAAGACATGAGGTAATTAAAATCAGAATTAAATTAAGGAGAATAATTTTTTTAAGGTTTTAAGCAACTAATCTTTGTATGGTCGACTGAGTAGACAGGGAAAAGTAGCACGTGCACAGTAAATCTGTTTTAAAGAACTGACGTAGAAAGGAGTACAAATATTGACATCAATAGTACAAAGTGAACATGAATCAGAATATAGAGTATTAAATGTCTGCAGTTTATAATATTTCCCAAGTAAACGCTTTAGATTGCTAATGACAACATATTCAGGGTTATTCATTCATATTTGCATTGATTCTCTTAGCTGCACACGGATGTTCCCGACCGTCCAGGGCAGCCCCAGGGCAGAGAATAGTTTTATCACCATACCATATGCTTGGTTAAGAAACAAATTTTTAAAGTACTCGTGACAAGTTTTTTTTTTTTTGAAATCTCCTTTTAGGGCATAGTGCCATCTATGGACGACCTGATTGTCGCGGTTAAAAAAGTGTATCTGCAGATTTATTATACGCTTGTAGAAACAGTCAACCTGCAGACGGTAATCTTTTTTGTGGTAAGGCATTTGACAGAAGGCATTTTAAGATGTCCAAACCTATTGTACGCGTCGAATAAATTTTACTGTCACTTCTTTTATATATTTTTAATTTTATTCCCTTCCTGCTAAATATAACAAAACATTTATACGGAAATGAAGCGTATTTCCCTTTATGATTGAAAGGACAGGAAAATATTGATTTCTTTTGTCATAGGCCACTACAGTAAATGGTAGTAAGTGGCTCTTCAATGTTTTTATTGTAAGAGATTCACATGATCCAGTTTGTTTTTCAAGCGTATGAGAAAAACACGGCGAACAACAGTTGGCTTCTAAGCCTTTTAGTGACTTTTAAAACCTACTTTAAATAACAATCAGTATTTCCTTCTGTTTAGAAATTGTTCTCCGTATAATTATTTTATGATGAAGAGGGTAATAATAAAAATAATAACAATAATAATGATGATGACAAAATTTCTCGCGATGAAATAATTCTTCATACGAAGGCGTCGTTCCCGACTCATTACCGACCAACGAACTGTTTTAAAGGACACCATTTTCAAATCAAAAATGGATTACTATTCTTACCAGCCTTATCTATTCAGCTGAAAGTGACAGCAAAACCCTGTTTCACACAATCACTCGTCTTCTTCACAGGGAAGTAGGTAAACGTTTCCCTACCAGCTCTTCTGCAGTTAATCTCGCAAATAAAAATTCTTCAACCTTTTTTAGGAGAAAGTCGTCTATATCAGAAGTAATCTTGGTACACCTGTAATTCCTGATTTCTTCAGAACCGTTCATCACTAACCTGTCAGCTTGAATTCTGTTCCAGGCGTTCGAATAGTGGAGTGCAGCGCGAAAGAAGAGAGCGAGGAAAAAATAACGTCCGAAACAGGCTAGTCAGCTTGTAAATTTTGCACCAACTTCTAACACCGATCTGTCGAGCATTGCTAACAATGTCATCATGAAATCCTGTATTTTGGATCCGCTTCCCGCAACCCAACAGAGGCAGCACTTCGATTTACTTTTACCAATTATCCTGAAGGTTTTCAACTTGTTACTGGAATCCGGTCATTTTCCGTCTTCTTTGAAAACTGCTGTTCTATCTCCACTACTTAAGAAAGCCAACTTAGAACACGTAGTTCTTGCAAACTATAGACCTGTTTCAAACCTCAAGGTGATCTCAAACATTATTGAAAAGGTCGTCGCAGTGCGTCTTCAAAAATATTTAGAAGCTAACTAGCTAAATGAGCCGCTACAATCTGCCTATAAACCTTTCCATAGTTGTGAAACCGCCCTTGTGCGCGTTTATAATGACATTTTGGTTGCTATTGATAAACGCCACTGTGTCATGCTTCTACTGTTAGACCTGTCTTCCGCCTTCGACGCTGTGGATCTTGATATCCTCCTTAAAAGATTGCACTCTAAATACTCTATACTCTTTCTCTGGCACAGCTCTTAAATGGTTTCGCTCCTACTTTACTAATCGCTCGCAATTTGCGTTTATCGAAGGGTGTAGATCACAGTCTCGCCAGCTCAAGTGCAGTGTATTTCAAGGTTTTTTCCTTGGACCTATTCTGTATGTACTAAACAGCGCTGGCCGACATTCTACGATCTCATGAAATGCAATTTCACTTTTACGGCGACGACGTACACTCAATTATATATTTCTTCGTCTACAAACAACGATATGGAACTAACCAACAGTATCACGATTGAGGAATGCCTGTCCGTCCTTGATAAGTGGATGTCTATCTACAGACTAAAACTAAAAAAAGATAAGACCGAGCTTCTCTAATTATTCTCAAAGTATAATCCACAACAATCTTTATCCCCGCGCTTCGCTTTGGAATTGACATAATCAAGCCCTATTCACATACAAGATATATTGGCGTTATCTTCGATACCACCATGTCCATGCTTCCCCATGTCAACAGTTTTTGCAAATCTGCCTTTATCATCTTAGCACCATTTCCCGCACAAGGAAATACTTATCCTCGCAAACTACTGAGATTCTTATTCACACCTTTGGGACTTCAAAACTCGATCACTGCAATTCTTTACTATATATTAATGTCCCTAAAAACGTCATCAAAAAGCTTCAATTGGTGCAGAATGCAGCTGCCAGACTGATTACACGCTCTAAGAGGTGTGATCAAATCACTCCCATCCTCTTCGGTCTTCACTGGCTACCTGTTTCTGAACAAATTAAATTCAAGATTCTACTACTTACCTTCAAGGCTCTGCATCAGCAATCTCCAACCTACATTCAAGACCTATTGACCCGCTACTTACCGTCTAGACCGCTTCGATCATCTTCTACGCTCAGTCTGAATCCTGTTAGTTGTCTCAGCCCCCAATCTTGAGAACAAACTACCTGACGATACACGCTAATGCGAGAATCTAAATATTTTTAAATATAAACTTAAAACTTACCTTTTTAAGAACTATTGTTTTATTCATCAGAAAGACTTTTTTGATTTTACATGTGTTATATTTAAATTTAAATTTAGTTTAATCAATATTTATTTTAATTTTATTTTTTCACTTTTTAAGCGCCTAGATCATTACGGGATAAGCGCTATAAAAATGTTCTTCTTATTGTTATTATATTGTTATTAATAAATATCTTAACTTGTGCTTTGTTATTTGTTTCAACTATACAGTTAATCTTAAAAATTAAATGAATCTATAAATTACTCTTAGAGTAAGTTTGTTAAACAAGCGAAAATTTATTAACAAAAGAATCAGTCTTTTTCGCGCTCCTTTCGTTTTTCGTTTTTTTTTTTCTTTTCTTTTTGTCTGTTTTTTTTTTTTTTTGCAAAAGAACGTACAGATCATTCAAAAGCATTGGAAGGAATGGGGCGGATTTGACCCTTACCAGGCTAGGGTGGGCAATGTTAACCGAACGTGTCAAGTTTAACTTCCTTGTGCGATCCGGGTCTGACAACGTGGTTTCTGTTCGATGGATACGAACTTTTTCTTACTGAGATACAGGAGTTTGTAGGTAAGGAAACAGCTATTGTAAACGAATTGCTTATTCGGAAAGGATTTCAAAAGCTGCGTTTTTAAAAACGATATCGAGTGTTCAATTTTTGTACTTGCAGCTCGAGCCTATTTTTCGAAATTCGCAATCTGCAAAACGTTTCTTCTTTTGGAGGGATATTTGACAACTACACTGGGCTAATGTGACGGGAATTTGAACAGGTCGTATTCGCAACAGAGCACGAGGAGGCAAGGTAAGGTCTATAATGGGAGCGACCCAAGTCAGACAGGCGGATCTGTGCAAGTTTTTGTCCGTTCAAAATTAAAAATTGGCCTGACTTGTGTAAACTGGGTATAGAGTGTTTTCATATGACGTTACGGCGGCTATATTGGTGTTCCAAAACAATAAAACGGCGGCTATGTTGGTGTCCAAGCTGAATACTTTAGACAACACTGATACAGAAACAATTTCCGCTTTCCGTTTTCGTCTTTTTTGACTCTTTAGTTGTCTCTGCTCACAAGACGCGGGTGGCTACGCGATTTCCCGCCAAAATAACCTCGAGTTGCATTTGGGTTGCCCTACCTGTTGGTTGAGTTATTTTACATTGGTATGCCTGTGGTGCGGCCGGGCGGGCGAACGGTCACGTGATTACCAAAATTTCTCGGATGGGTAGATTACATAATTTTCTTACCATGGTGCTCAGCTGTGCGCGCTTCGCGCGCGTAACTCCGCTATAATGGCATATGTCACTGCTAGTTGCTAATTGCTAATTCACTGCTATACCGAATAGCTTTTCGTGCCGACGCGAAAAGCTATTCGGTATATAGTGAGAACACCTATCCGATGTATGAATGACTCTGCATTCTAGAAATCGGCGCGGCGCAGCGTCGCTCCGTTACAGAAATCACGCCGAAATCACGGTTCTTATGTGCAAATAGAAGCCCTATCCAGTATGGTTTTCGTGCCGGCGCAAATTCTATCCCTTATAGTGCAGTGTGAACATCCTAAACCTCATCCTTTTTTTGTCGCATGCACATAAGCTAAAATTTGAAGTTTATCTACCATACCAATCTATTGCGATCGTCCTTTCTTCCGCCTCTCTTTTGTTTATATTTTGCGGCCTGTCTTTTCTATATCCAGTCAGTTTTGTTGCCCAATTGATCGGTTTTCTTTCCCATGCAATTATAGCTGGCCAACTTTCTAGGGAAAAGAGGAAATTGTTGTCAGGAAAGAGAAGTATGTGAATAGCCAAATTGGCAGTGGATTTCCCCAAAAAGTTTAGGAGGTTTTTGTGCGTAACTCTAGCAGGATTGGTTAGAATTTCCGAAATGATACTTGTTGAATTAGTTGCTCACCAAAGTTAACTCTTTAAAAACTGACAGCAAAATGGATTGTGCATTGTTCCAAATTGACCCGTATTGCCGATCCGATCCGTAGCCCTGGGTCAAAGTTACTATAAATTCTTCAAACAGCTGTTTGTTTTAAAATCAGTTTGCCGAGATTATGTAATAAAATAAAGCAACTTGCACAAAATCGATCTGCTTAATTCCAAGGAAATGATTTAACAAATATATACTAAAACACAGTTTATTCTCGCCAAACTAGACCTTGGAGAGCAATGAAAATAAAAATAAGGCTCTCCTCACATTGAGTGGTTTTCAGGGAAGTCCTCACTAATTATATTAAAAATACTAATTACAATCAATCTAGACCGGTGACTTTTCCGCCATTCATGGCCTCTATGACCCAGTAATTTAATTGAGCGATGGCTTGTTGAGTGCTATCGCCACGCCTGAATCTACACTGAATACTCAGCTGACTATGTACAACTCTTTCAATGACTTTGCTTATTGCAGTAACAATATTTTCGGAGGTGTGGGAAATCTTTTTCGATACAATGTGGCTGGTCTTTATACGCGTCAATACGGCTAATTTCTCCAAGAAGCAGAGGAGAACCTTTGTTCCATCTAACGGAAGCCTCATAAAAACCCTTATTAGGAGACGTCACCAACTGAATCTGATACAGCGTGTCTTTCACAAGCGTATTTTCAGCTTTGTCGCCCGACACCGCTACGCAGCCGTCGCACTTATCGTCTGCGGCATTTTGTGTACGTTGAAATCTTTGCATAGCTTCTTTCGGCATCTCACGAAACGCGCTCATGATTTCTTTAAGAGTCAACCGCTGACACAACTGTGACAGCTCATCACTTTGGGACGTCGAATTATTAATGTAATGCACCACAAACGACGCTGTTTTGTTAACTATTTCCTCAGAAGTTGATACCTCCTCAAGATCGAGGCAAGGACACCAATGATCCTCCACGCCTGCACTTGCGCATGTGCGATTTTGTTTGTCAATCCGGTGAAATAAGCTTTGACCAATTACAATGCTGTTCGGATAACTTGGGTATGACAGGATATGACGCAAAGTTGCATAAACGTCAAACGGTGACGTCAAAACGCGGGAGTTGTAGACGAGGTTGGCGTAGAGGTCAGGATACTTGCTAGGAAACCATTTCGGTAATGTTATGGACAGGAATGGGAGCCTTTCCTCCAGTTTTCCTTGAATAGTTTTTCTCAAACCCGAGAACCGTGCTCCATGATCAGCAAAAACAATCAGCAAAGTGTTGTTACGAAATGATTCCTTTTCAAAGGTTTGCAGGAAAGCCTTGAAATCATCATCAACAAACCAATAGTGTTGGGGTCGCGGTGAGAAATATCAGCGTGGGATGAGAAAGCAAACTTTGATGTCGTCCTGTACATGCGAAAATAACTGAGTAAATATTCCAAAGACACGATGTGTGATGCCCGGCTTTGTATACAATACCTGTAGTTCCAGTTTCTCAATTTATAGGCTTCCAACCAGAATGGTCTTGCGTAATGGTCTGTAGGTGGTTCTTTGAACCCGTGCAAGCGATAATTGAAGGATGCCATTAGCGGCGAATCCTCCGAAAACATCGTAGCATATCCGTGATATTTAAAGCCCTTAAAAATCCAGCGCCAGTTGTCAACTGTATGGGATGAACGTATTCTCCTCCGAGCTTCCGGCTGGCGTGCTTCTTCTATCCCAGTAAACATTGCAGACAGTTGTGCAGTAGTACCATCTCCCACGATAGTCTCCCCTGTTCATACACAAACATTAATACAGTAAACACCCGCATATAAGAACTAATGGATTAAGAACATCAGGCTGAAATTTGGCCCATAAAGCACAATATATATAAGAACCGGTTCAGCCTGATAAAAACATGTTCTTATAATGTATATAGATTTAGTCAGGGCTAAAAGCGAAGCTCTCTGTAATAACAGCAAGTGGTAACGTTTGCGCGTGCGTCAAACTTGCTGGGAAGCACTTGTTGACGGGAAATCGTAATGGCCGAAAGCCGTTCTGAAGCCCTTTCAAGGGAGATTTTTTTGCATACCCAATCGACAACAGACATGTCTTATAGATTGGATACTTTGGCTAAGCCATGTTGAAGTGTCATGTATGGGAGAAGGACCATTTAGGTTCTTAATTTTCGTCCATTTGGCTCCTCTGATGAAGCAGATAAAGCGTTCACGAGGTCGTTTGTTGTGATATGTTGATTTGTTGACATTCAAGCGGTCACGGATTTCTGGGTTATCGTCCACGATCTGCAGAGCTGCCTAACATTTAGGTAAGATATACCCCTTGATTTACTTTGTGAAATGTGGAGCAGCATCATCGAATGTTATGTGTTAAAATTATAGCAGCCTGAATTCAACGTAATTTATGTGACCCTGGTATTTTTGTAGTATTTGACCCTGACCGTACAGCGAGATCCAGTGATATATCCCACACAAGCGACTAAACAGGTTAAACTTCTCTTTCGGTCACTCCGTATTTTCACTTTTAATGGTTAATTCAAAGGGGGGAAGTTCGAGTATTTTGATACTATTTAGCGGCATGAAATCAATAAGCAAATTTCCTACTCTTACAAGTAAGGCCATAGTCGGATGTTTCCTTCCATTTTCGAAAATTTGCTTTTCTGGTTTACATTGGTGCTCTATGGCGATTATTTGTTCTCAGAGATAAAGAGATCGAGGCGGTGGATTGTGAAATATTATTTGCTAAAACTTCGTTAAAGATGGACAAATTTTTCTTGTCCTTTTCAACCTTGTTTTTAGATTTTTCGTTAACATGTAAAAGTATATCCCAACAAAACTTATTTGTAAGAGCATTGTTTCGGAACACTCTTTCATTCTTGAATGTTTGATTTTGCATCCAAGGGGGGGAACACTGATGAATTTGCATTTTAATAATCATGCACTGTAAGCTCTCAGATTCACTGACCAGAACCCTCACCATTTGGAAGATTATTTTATTCTGATAATTATTCAATGATGATTTGTTTATACATACAAAATTGGCGCCTAAAAGAATTGTAATGTTATGCTTAAAATGTTTACTTAATGTCTTGAAACATAACTGAAATCAGTATAAAATATGAAAATACACATATGTGCATTCTTTCCCTGCCCTACTATAAAAGTGATTTAATAAGTGTGATTTAATGCATTTTCATATGACCATTACAATGTTACTCCCACTTTGACACTAGCACAAGTTCAAGCACAAAACAATTCTTGCCCTTGTTCACCTTTGCACTTGCTGGACTGCCATTTCTGTTTGAAGTACAGACACCACTGGACATGAAATCCCTGTATTTGATTCCTTACATTGGCATCCACATAAGAATTAGCTTCATCAGATACAATGTATTTGTACCCTTACAAAAATCATAAATGTTATTATTCCTTTTCTATCCAAAAGATTTCTTTCCTTTTTGAATATAAATTCGTATCCATGACACTTGACAAATCCTGAAAAAATATCTAAAGGGGTATCGCTAGTTGTGGGCAACAACTAAATGCCATAGGGGTAACTTTTCACTCTCCGATAGAAATAGATCTTTTGATACTCTGGGTCTCATATATTCAGTGTTTGTGCACATGAATTTAGGAGCACTTGGCTTGCCAATGTCGGTTTGGCTGTGTATACACTGTAGTAGCGTATATAGTCATATATCATAGGCTGCACAAGTTGCAATTAATTTTATGTAAAATTGCCCCTGAAACAGTCTCATTGATGCTCCTGGTGTCGCAAGATGACAAGTTATGAAAAATTTCATTTGCCTTTTTCCTGTTGCAGGAGCTCCCTATGAGATGCTCAGCACTAAACCTGGGTTCTGTCACTCCATCCATCTGTCAAGGGTCTGTCACTCCATCCTGAACTGCGTCAAATAGCCTTGGTGCCCCAGAAGACACACAGACAAGCTTTAATTTTAATGAGTCATACATTGGCTCACTTGAAGCTACCATAAAGTCAGACTTTATAAATATCAGGCTTTAAGATCCTTATGTTCTCCTCATGTTGAAATTGAATGAAAAGGAAAAGTTAGAGCTAATTTTCTCTCATTTTCAATTTTTTAATCTTAGCCCAGATATGAGCTAGTCAAGGGAGCTAGGCCTTATTAGTTATATCTTAAATAATTAACACATGTGCAGTAGAAAATACCAACAACAAAATTTATGAAAAGCAAAAATGAGTGCAAGCATGGAAGTATCAGAAGCAGAAAATTCACTTCAATGTCTCAGAGAGAAAATGCAGTTTTAGATATGACTATGATCTTTACTGTTTTAAGTATTTTCACTGTTGTGTGCATATTTGCAATTTTCTAGTATGTAGAAGTGTGGGGAGTAAAGGGAAGGATTTTTCATGGTTAGGGTTACCTCAATAAAAAACATCTGCAATATGAAACATCTTGTACCACACTCCTGTTTTGGCTCATCTAATTCTTTATTTTAGAAGTATAAGGGGCATCTTGGAGTCAAGAGCCTCCATATTACAAAATTCTGCCTACACCCCTGAATAAGTTAAGGCATCATATAGATTTAATAGATGTCATTTCTTGATTTTGGGTCTTCAGTTTTATATCATCTAGTCAAAAAAGGAAACATACAATTTCATAGCCCTGGGTGGGATATCTTTGAAATTTTATCAGTCGCAGAATTAGGGCACTGCACCTGCTTTGGCCACGGGTGGTTAGGATGGGGTATCTCTGAAAAGTAATCACTGGCAGAATCACTGCACTAAGGTTGCACATCTCTGAAAAACAGGGCGTTCCTGAACCATAACTGACGTGAAATCGTACTATTGCAAGGGGATTGTCGCAAGAACTGCAGTTATAACTATATAAACAGACTAGCATTTAGAATTTTTTTTCACAGCGTTTTATTCAAATCGTAAGCGTCGGACGTTTTGTACTCGGTCACAACTTACATGAAGAGATTTTTTCCCAGTTATCCAGTGTTTAGTAGAGGAGTTTTGCAGCTGTTACGCAGAACCCTATCGACGTGTCCGCGCGCAAACCAAAACACGAAACAATAATCACTCATGGACCACAAACCGGGCAAAATTGTGAATGATCTGCGACTTATTAGCCTTGAGACCAATCTCGCATATTACAAAGAAGACTTTGTCTTATCTGCACTCCACAAAGATAGAACAGATGACTAAGACGATGGTAATTTTTAAAAGAGGCGCCATTTTTCTTTGCCGCATTCGCTGCGATCCAATACCACCACAAACTTCCGTCCAGCGGCTCGCGCATACTCGCAACGTTACCACTTGCTGTTCTCTGTAATATTTATAGTTTGCTCAAACAAAATATATAATCGTGTAGAAGGTGATGTAACACGAGACGATTCGCAATGGCGATTTTTAGCGCAACACAGCGTTGCAACATTGTTTCGAATGGTCACAACATTGTTCCAGCATTGCAGCGCTGTGCTGTGCTGCTAAAAATCGTCGTTGCGAATCATCCAGTGTAACATCACCTTTAAGCGGCGAAGGAAACGAGAACGGTGAAAAAACAACAATAGGTCTAATTAGCAAAAGAGCAACTTTGCACGTGCAGCCCCGGGCGTGCAGCACACTTTTTTGTACATTTCTTTGCCGTTGTTTTGCACGACTACAACGTTAAACTTCTAGAAACTTCCTGGTTACGTTTTATGGAGGAAATGTCGTACGTGTTCTTGTTTATTTTTTTTTTTTCACTGCCGCTGATTTTCACCTCGGTGACCGCTAGAATTTCTTATTTTCCCACCGCCGCTACAACATTTTCATGTTGTTCTCGCAACAAATAAGTGTCTCCTTTGTCTTTTATCTCTCGCTCTAGCCGTCTGTCGCTGTTTCCCTCGTTGAGCTTCGCTGGCCTGTCGCCTACTTTCTCTTTTTCTCTGTCTCTCTCTTGTATTCCAAATTTGTGGACATGACAATTAGTCTAAGCTTCATACTTTAGACAACAAGGATACAGAAACAATTTCCGCTTTCCGTTTTGGTCTTTATTGACTCTTAAGTTGTCTCTGCTTCAGGAGGCGCGGGTGGCTATGCGATTTCCCGCCAAAATAACCTCAAGTTGCCATACCTGTATGCTGATTGAGTTATTTTACATTGGTATGCCTGTGGTGCGGACGGATGGTCGGGCAGGCGGGCGGACGTACGGTCACGTGAGTACCAAAATTTTTCCGGATGCGTTGGTTATCCAATTTTCTTAGCAAAGGTGCTCCGCTGCACGCTCTTCGCGGCGCGAGAGCTCCGCTATAATAAGGGAGAGGATGTCGGATTAAGAAAGCAAAGTAAGTGTTATTGATATGTGAAATAAATCATATATGAACTGCGGAAATGAAATGAAAATGAAGAAATGATCGTCGCAGTGAACGCAATTTATGCAATTGCGTAAAGAAGCCTGAAAAAAATTCACGCTTCTTTACGCAATTGCATAAATTGCATTCACTGCGACGATCATTTCTTCATTTTCATTTCATTTCCGCAGTTCATATATGATTTATTTCATATATCATTAACACTCATTTCTTTCACGGGAACATATGAACCCACAATTGACCTGCACCCAACGTAAGTGGCTTCATAGCTCATTTGGTAGAGGAGGTCACGGGTTCAAACCCCGGTGAAGTCCTGAATTTTTTTCAGGCTTCTTTACGCAATTGCATAAATTGCGTTCACTGCGACGATCATTTCTCCATTTTCAAAGCAATGTAACTATGGTTGCTGCTAGACTATTACAAAACTATTACAGTTTCCTGGGTGTCTTAAGGATTTCATGCTCCAGAGGATCATGTTATGCTGCAGCTGGTTGAAGGATATAAATGTCAAATACATGTAATAAACTATCTGGTTGCATAGCCGTTGGAGTCTTTACTGATGAAAGCAAATTTGATTGGCTGACAAGTCAATGGTGGCCCCGGTTGAGTTAGCATGACTGTAAGAAATATTTTTAAAATGTTGAAACTAATTTTACATTTACTACCTGACAGATTTTTATTTTATTTATTGATTTACTGATATTTATTTACAATAAAATATGCTAACTAATCCTCTGGTAACATGTTATGTGCAGTATTTCTGAAACAAAGTTTAAGAACATATTAAGAACACCTTCAGGCTGATTTCTCACTGAGCACCTGATAAATAAGAACTAGATCTGCCTGAACCCGAAATCATGTGTTCTTATATGCGGGTCTTTACTGTATTATATTTTTAGTTTTCGGAGTTCAGACCATTATCAGGATAAATTAGGCCAACATGCCCGGTAGAAAGACATTAAAAAGAAACCATTCTTTTGGGTAACATGGGGGTAACATCACATGGTTTGAAATGGGAAAACAAAACATGCAAGTAAAAGATCTATTACAGCAACGAATATTGAAAAATCATTCCGTAAAATCAAGGTAAAGACATACACGCACACTTGCCTTGCATCAGAATAGAGTCTAATGATGTGGTCAAATACTCCAAACTTTTCGGCATCTTTCTTTTAAAATTGGCTGCTGATGTGGAGTCAAACATAATTAGAGCCACATTCAAAGGAATCCCGCCCTGTTTCTGTTTTCTTTCGAGGACTTCCTTTTTTGGAAACACGTGCATGTGTACGTCACTTTTCGTCTCGCCCGAAGAGGTTACAACTTCCACTCGGATGAAGTCCGCGTCAACTGAAGCATTCCCAAAGAAAACGCCTAGATGCATAAGTGAAATGTTTTTTAACAACTGCTAGGAATGGAAGAAAAACATATTGAATGTAGGTTGTGTAGCGGTAGACATGCAGAACACACACAAACCTTATTAAGTGAATCAATATCTTCTCGGAAAGCCTCTAAAGAGAGGCACAGTTCGGAGACATTTTTACCGAAAAATAAGTTGCCACAATACAATATATATTTTCGGATTTATCACTAAGCTGACAGCTAAACTGATTATTAAAAATTGAGTAACGTATAAAAGCTACTTATCGGCTTCCAAAAGTCCGATTCAATCCAAACTTAAATTTTATCACCAGCTATCTAAAAAGACATCATCGGCTTCTAAATAATCTATCACAATATGTCACCTTTGCCACTGTGTTGCTGACTTTGGCCTTGGCCAAACGTCGAACTTTTCATGAGACGAACCAAACGTCAGTAATATGGGTCGACCTAAATTAAGTTAAGATCGTCTGTTGGGTCAGACGTCGAACAACCAATCAACTGAATCAGACCAAAAAGCGGGCCAGCGGGAGTTTCTCCCGAACGAGGCTAAATATACATTGTCGTACAAATTTTTAATTTATTATAGTTTAGTTCGTCGCATGTGAGTATCGACTTTTGTCCTGGAGACGATCTACAGACGTCCTTTCCGTCTGAAGCAGACTGAAAACTCGACAACTTAAGCAGAAGGAAAACTTTTTTTTGTCATGGCTTGCTTTTTACTTTTTTCAATATTTTTCTTTTAAGTGGCTATGACGGCTTGTCCAACAGAATGCGATCAGTTACCTTTTGTGTGGTCAACTAACAAGTTATCGACAAAGAAATAATTTTCCAGTCGACTGTTGAAAATTTCGAGCAAGGTTTTATCTACTCTTGACATCTCTCAACAGTCGTAAAATCTCATAACGTCAGCTCATAACATCATGTTGTTTTCAGTATTAAATATTTGATCGGAGCTTCCAACCACTATGAGAATTGAATGAATTGAGTAAATAAAACTAAAAAATGAACACAGAAATTAACGTTGATAAATGCATTTTTGCAACCATGTCATCAAGGACCCAGAATCTGTCCTTTAATTCACAGCCCGGATACGGTCGTATTAAACGACTGATGTCTGTCTGACGGGTGCAAAGCACTTTTATCTGTCTCATAAACTAACGTGACTTGAATCTTCTTGTTAGGTAATCACTGATTCTGACGTTTTTTCTCTGGGTGAGAATATATCACCATTAGCAACTTAAATTTAGCTCGCCAATGTGGCATTCTGGCTACAAATTTCTGTTGTTGTGGATACATTTTAATGATTGTATGGCCTTAATCTAAGCCAAACGAAAGCAGCAGGCATTTTCCTCCTTTCTTTTTTGGTTTGGTTGTGTTCATGTCTTTTTTTTCCCTTATCAAATATGTAGTCAGACTTGAGACGAGGTCTTCCCCCTTAAACACAATCTTAGTTCTACTTTGAATTTGCGTTTATTTGCCAATTTACAACTCCTAGAGATCTTTAATTTACGAAACAAATTCCTTCTCCATTATTGATTAACACCGATTGTAAAAGGGAACTTGCATTTGACCAAAAACCCATCAGTTAGGCTATTCAAGATGAGGAGATTTCTACATAGACTTGCGACAACTTAGATCAAGAGAATTTTCAGTGTCTTTTTTAATGGGAAACGCGGGAAACTGTTTTATAATCATAATAACTTCTAACCGAAGTTAGATTAATTCGACCATCGGCAGCTCAAAATTTATGATTGATAAGGTTTCGATCAAGTTGACTCAAACAAAATCACTGGAAAATGACTCACCTGTCTGTGTGTTTTGAACACTCACTGGGTTAGAAAGAACAACGTCAAAATCATTACCAGGCATCCTCTCTATCTTTCTGTACTGCGCTGAAACGATTCCTTTGCCTTTCACTTGCAGCACATTATTATGGAAGCTTGAATACGTTTCTCCTGTGCAGCGTAGTTTGCCAAGATCTTTCATAAATTGAGTGACGCTAGGATGGAAAGGGTTTAGGGTTGGGAGTTGACAAGCAGTTCTAGAATCCTCTTTGTATTCCACGAGTAATATTTTCGGACGAATTCTATCATGTTTAAGGTTTAAAACCAGACTTGCTTGATACACGAAAATTAACGACCCAATACTCAAAATCCCGATCACTACAAGTATCGTACCGCGAAAACCCTTGAGAAAATTAGTCGAGTGACAGTCAGAGCGAGTTTTTCTTCCAACCATCCCAGCAATGCCAAATACAGGGAATAATTTCCCTATAGTTAAACTCGACCACAACACCTAAACAGCTGTCACAGACATGCCCTATTATGTTGCCCTACGTCGCAGACACTCTAAATTACCTAGACAATGCGTTGGCCGGCTGCACCACAGGCTATACTAAGTGCGTTAACACTAGCGATTTTACCCATTGGCAAATGGCTGTCGCCCATGGGGGAGCAACCCTTTTTGTGTCGGCGATTTCTCAAAGGTGAAATTGCCTCGAAAAAATTTCTATGGATACGTCAAATAGAACAAAAGAATTACCAAAGCGGCTCAACCAATCACGAGAAAGTGAAAGGTACCAAGCAGTGGAAATCACGTGTTGTTTACGTACTGTGTTCGTCTTAGCGGCAAATCCTACGCGAAAACTCAAAAGTTCAACAATTCAGCAGGATTTTGAGCACTGCTGTGGAGGCTTTTCAGTTTTTTACTCTAAATAAATTCAAAAGCACTCACAAGTTTTCTTTAAATCCGTGTCAAGAATTCTTTTCTTATGAAGTGTTGCAACCAGTACCATTTTAGTAAACCCGTACTTTTGACTTCTGAGCGAGAATTTAGGCTAAAATTTGCTTATCTTTCAAGTGCGAATGAAGTCGACGTCTTTCCTTTTCAGTCTTAGACTAAAAAAGGCAAAATTAAGGGCTGAATCGCTCTTGCCAAGCTTAACTGATGAGGCGATCTTTTGAAAAAAGGGTAAAAATGGTCGAAACCGTTTTTCGATTTATGTCAGCCTTTAATGTTTACAAGACTTTTCAAGCGTTTTGTCTTCCCCTTGGGCAATTTATCGCTGGGTGACCGAAAACATGAAAGTGATCAAGCCAGAGCGAACCCTGGCCAAGACGCCTAGTGTGACCGCACCTCTTATGTTTTCTTGTGCGCTGAATGGTCGAGAGCTATGGTAGGTCTATGATAGAAACGACAATGGAAATGACGTATCTTTTTCTACATCGTTCACGCAAGCTTTTCTAAGAAACTTTGCCGGAAGTGGTACACGGCGAAAGGTTCAACCTTATTTGAAACAACAAAAACCAGACGTCTGGGAACTGAAATTTTCTGCGCAAGTCTAATACGAGAAGACGTGATTATAGTGAAACTGATAGGTTCTCTTTGCCGATTGACAATGTTTTTGATAATTTTGCAGATATCGGAAAGATATCTAGACTGAGAGCAATCTCTCTTTAGCTCGAAAATCTGTGAGCGAGACAGTGATTTCGATATGTGAGAATGCGAGTGGTAGTTTCGCACGCAGACGTTCTTAGGGGTTCGTCACGCATTCCTGCCCCACGGATTGCATGACGGACCAAAAGAACGTCTGGGTGAGAGCATGGAAAATTTGGCAGATACCAGGATATGGCTTCGGGGGATATCTTTTAGATTGTGAGCGCACGCCATATGTGAGTACGAGATCTGCCGGCGCCATTACGAGCGAAAATCAACTCGAAAATCGTTCCTTCCATGTTATATTCGGCCTCATTTAATTACCAATTAATGAATGAGCCTGAGTATCTTACGAAGAATTATGAAGGTCGGATAACACCCTCCGAGATCTCCATAATTCTTCATATGATACGAAAGCCGAATTCAATAATTATTTTATTATACATTCAAAATAATTCCTAGTTTAAAAACATAGCTAAAACATGCTTACCTCCATCGACGTTAAGTACATCTTCGATAGTGTACATTTAGGTTTGTCCAGCTCCGCAAATATTCTCCAAATAGCAGATGTCGCCCTCCGAGTTGTCTTCTTGCTGTTTTTGCTATGTTTTTAGCTATTATTTCGCCTAGTTCCAGCTGTAGTTCTTACTCTTAAAACGAGTGAAGTGTCGGCCATTTTTGTTTTCACAACCAAAACAACTCAACCTCGTCCCCAGGTCTTCTCGGTTAACGGTGCATTAACCTATAGCGGGCTGCATTTTTGACGTCATTTCCTCGTTAAACACAAAATTCTTCCAAATTTGGTCATCAGTAACTAGTTATGGTGAATTATGCGTGTGCTTTTAGCCAATCAGAATTGGGGAAATATTTTGAATGAATAATAAT